CAGCAAAATAGTGTCGGCATACTATTCCACGGCTAACAGGCCAAGTACAAGTGCATAAATAGGAACTATCCTTAAATAAAATAATATAGTGTATATTTGTTGATCCTACATTTCTGACAATACGCCATACTTCTTGAATATTATTATGTGGAATACTATTTAAAAGTTCATTTAAATGTATTTGTTGTGAATCATAATTGTCTTCGATACATATATTTGTAGATTCAGATTCATCAGCACAATGTTCTTGTAATATATTAAATGGATAACATCGGTACCAAAGTGCCTGCTGCATTTGTTGTTTAATTTCAGCCATTATATGGAGGGTAAGATATTTTTCGCATAAAGTAACAATCTTTGGAAATAAAGTTCTGCTTATTGATTGCATTCTTCCGGTATTATGATCAAAATTAATAGAATCCTGAGAGCGGCTATACATGCTTTCTTTATCAAGGCGCTCTTGAATTGTTTTATACAAAGTAATAAGTGAAGAGAACTGGTTAACACTTGCTTTAATAAGATGATTGTGACTTTCTACATGTTGGATGCTTTGAATACCAGCATTGAATACTTGTGAAGTAAAACAACGGGCCCAACTATGCTTTGACTGATACATTCGCTTTAAATATGATTTTATTTTTGGATAAGCTTTAATTAATTGATCAAAACGAATTTCAAAAATAAATGATTGTAATGCATTATGTGCAATATAAAAATCAGTTATAAATTGATTGTATTGTTGTGCCTCAAGCTTTGAATGAGCCTTTTTTTTGACATTATTATTAATGTGAAACACACAAAGATGATATTGTGCTGATGAAAAGATCTTAGAAATCATAGCGGCCATTGCAGGATCTGAATCAGTAAAAATAACTCCAGGTTCGTACATAGAATTTCCTTTTTGACAACATTTAAAAAACCAAATAAAAGTGTCCAAAGACTTATCAGGTAGTAATGCTTGGGCCACCAATCTGCTTTTAGTATGGTTATCAACTACAATTACTAATGCTAATGGTCGTCGATATCGATTGGTTTTACTAGTAGTATCTAGCAAACAAACATCACCAAATCTTGATAATAGTTAAACTTGCTCATCAGATTGCCAAAAAAGGCCCATCAATTCATTGTCAATATCACCAATGATAGGTTCAACTATATAGCCAGGTTCTGATTTTTGTTGTTGTAAGAGATAATACAATAAATCAGATGCATCATTTTTAAGGCTTTGACTTGTACCTTTGAGTTTACTTATTAAATTATAAATATGTCGTGGTTTAATAGGATGATTAGGATATTTATTTTCAAGTAAATGAATTATTTTATTAGGTTGAACATGGCACTGGTAATATAATTCAACTTTATTAATCATCTCTTCAGTTAATCGTTGGTATTTTGGTGCATTATTTTTAATGTCAAGGTCCATAGAATGATTATGAATTGAATCATCATCAATTAAAAAGCATCGAATAGTTGATGCTGTGTTGCCTATTGAGAAATTACAATGCCATTTGCAATTTATGACAGTTGCACGACGATTACGTTGGTCATCAGGATCAATTTTTTTTTTAGGCTGCCACTGTCCAGACCGATGACATACCCAAGTAGCATTCTAAACAGTTCCATCTTCACGTGTATGGGTATGACCTTTTCTGACTACAAATCCACGTTCCATAGCATATCTATCAAGTTTTCTTTCAATCTGTTCAAAGGTATTAAATGAATCATTTACTTTGATATAAAATGAATATTTATGTTGACTATCTATATTACAATCAAGGGTTTCATTTTCACTACTAGAATCTGATGATTCAAATAAATTTTCATAGAGTTCATTATACGAGTATCCTTCACATTGAATTTCTGAAGGTAATAAGGGAAAATCTTCATCCAATCTGTTTGATTCCGAGGAGTGATTGCTTGGATATTGACTCTAAAAAAAAAAAATGTCTCTAAACTATTAATAATATTTGATACAATTTTTTAATATTAACATTAACTAAGCTTTTCTACTAACTTGATAAAGATCTAAGTTAATATCTTTGGAAAAATCCAACATATCAGAAGGAAGCTGATGGGCCTTAAAAGGCAATAAATTAGTATAACATTCAATACAATTTTCAATTAAACTAACTTCAATAAATTAACTCACC